ATTAGGATTAAATCTGGTTTCATAGAGCTAATGAATTACTTTGGGCGGGAGACCTTACCTTGTACCAATAGCTCCCCTACAGCAGTACAAGGCAACCGAGGCCTAACTTACAATTTTCTAAATATTAGGCTTCCATAACAGCTTCCCATCCAGGATAAAGCCTAAGAACTCGACCCCGTCTGAAAGCCGCGACGAACACCTCCATCCGATGGAGGGGCTACAATGGGTATCCTGTACTTCTTGGTAAACAAGACCAGTTTCGACTTTCTATAATTTACTGCGAGGACGCTGTTGCCGCTCAGGTAACTTTGAGCCAGATCAAAAAGGAGTCTAGAAATCGTCCCTTAATCAAAAGTTCCACATCATCTAAATGGGCGATCACCCGATGGCCCATTTTTCCAGTTTCCCTAGAAGGTCGTTTACAACCGCAATCCAGAGCAGGAGAGAGAACACCATCTTGCGGGGTGCCCCATTCCCCGGCGACTTGAAGGGGTTGAACAAATTTATCGCCCAGGCTATGTTACGATCGTCCAGAAGATCGGACAAGTACAGGACCCGAAGTACAAAATATTACAAAGAAGTACATTTGACTGTACTGCGAAGTACGAAGTACAAGAACTAAAAAAGAAGTACTGTACTTCCGAAATCAACCGGAATATTGAACTACGTCAAACTAGCACTTTATTATACTAAAATGAAATGGGCTATAAAACTGCAAAGGTACTAGAAATTTCCCTAAGAATGTTGTTTAAAAAGTTCGGAGCTTTTATAAAAATTTAATAAATTTTTATGTACTATCTATTTCCTACAAATCGTACGATTAGAAATCGGTGAAATTCGCAAAATATTTTCCAATACATTTAATGCAAGTAATAAATATTTAAAATAAAAACTGCTATAAACACTAAATGACGTCATATTCCTCGATTTAGGGCCAAATTGTTGTCATTTTGTTAAGAAATCTCCAATCGCACCGATTTCAAATAGTCCGATTCACGAAATGTCGCAATATGGCATTTGCAACACAAAATTGTATGAACGACCCATGATATAAAAAAGAAGTTTCATTGTCACTTTTCGGGCCATATTAATTATCTGACAATTAAGCAGATTGTGACATTTCATGCTACCATACCTTAACTCCAAAAATCATTTTTTTTAACTCTTGTATCAAATCCCAAATATTAAAAAAAATCTCTTCTAAAAAAATTCCAGTGTGGTAAAGCTATCCCTAATATTAACATCTGGAGAAATGTCAAAAATCGTATGGAAAATGGAAATGGAAAAATTTGTATGGAAACATTCTTGCGACAAAATTGTGACATTGCCATAGTATTTGAGTTGGCAATCATTGCAAAGTCAAAGTCGCGAAACACATCTTTTTTATTGTCTTCAAATACTTCAAGAAAAAGTATATCTGTTAAAGCTGCTTCGAAATGTAATTGTAAGAACTTTTCTTTTTCTCTAACGCGCGGCATTTTTTTTTTTAATTTTTACATTTGCAATCCGGAGTTCATACCACTTTGTTCGCAACATTGCCATTTCGCCAAAAATGCCACTTTGCGACGTTTTATGAATCGCACTGCTATGTTATTTCAAGCAGCCTTAACCAATATACTATTTCTTAAAGTATTTGAGGCCAATAGAAAATATGATAGGTGTTTCGCGACTTTGACGTTGCAATGATTGTCAACTCAAATAATATGGCAGCGTCGAAGGTCGATCTTCCACTCAGCCATCGATATATTAATGAAAAAGAATTTTTTTATTTATAACAAAATTGTACCTAAAATAAAATTAAAATAAATGCCCTGACGAAAACAAGTGATTTTTTTTAATGAACTAATTGAAATACTACTTTAAAACAAATGCAATGCGTAAATGCTTCGAATTTTTATGTTCTTTTTGCTCAAAAAAAAAACAATTTGTGTCTTGCATCTGTGAAGTCCAGAACGCAAACTTATTCAAAAGAAACATACTGACTTTGAAGTTGTGTAAACCAAATTCATTTTAAAGTAGTTGAAATTAAATGCAAAGTCGGACAGTCGACTTGCTGCTTGCACATAATCCAAACTGCAAGCATATTTACATGTATGGCTGTAGCTGAGCGTGCAAAGATGTTTGCTACAATTGATTGCGGATATGAGTGTCCATGTTCAAATCTCATTAGGCGAAACATTTAGGCCCCTATTATGAGTTACATTCGATCTTCGACTGTGGTCGAAAGTGCTGATCGAACGAATTTTGATTTGGTATTATGGCGCTCATTCGATGAAGAATAGCGCTATTGTGAACTTCGCTCGTTTATGTTGTTCACAATAGCATATTTTTCACCGCTGAGAAGCTTTGTTTACAAACCGAGCAAACTAAATAGTGTGCTTAGACATATTTATGTAAATTTGTGCAAATTAAAATGAAATAAAAAAGAAAGCAAGTTTATAAAAACGTGGTAAAAATTAGTACAACGAAGTTCTGGGGTTCAACGATTCGTCAGAGGATGAGAGTTTAGTGAACTGACCAGGAGTAGTAAATGTTTAAGAGAGTTTAAGTGTAGTCTTTACAATATATTTTGACATAAAATATATTTAAGAAATTTGTCTACAGATTTACTAAAAACTTCCGACTGTCTAAAGAGGCGTTTGTGAGCCAAATCTATTTAAAATATTTTAAAACTATTCACAGCTCTACGATTTGTTCTCAGAGATCATGCCAACTGAGTATTGGGATTTTCCTTCACAAGTAAAGCAGCCTTTCGAGCTTGTGTTTTGTATTCACGACGTTAAAACTGCATGAAATTGATAAAAAATTGTTTAAAATTAGTGTTTACCCGCCAAAAAGTAAGAAAAGAAATGCAAAATCATACATTTTTCACAATTTTCAAACACTTCGCTACCTCATCGAAAGCAAAATTCTGTTCGACAGAAAATTCGATACTCAACGAAAATTTCGACACGGTTGCATAGCTCATAATACGAATTTCACTTTCGATCTTTGATCTTCGATAACCAGCGAAGATCGAAATCGAATGCAACTCATAATAAGGGCCTTAATTTTCAATTTTTAATTTCGGGTTTTCTTAATTATGAAAAAGCATCTGTGAAGTGCAGAACGAAAGCGAATCCAAACGACTGACCTTAAAGTTGTGTAATCCAAATGCATTTTAAATTAGTTGCTTCCTAGGACATCGCCATGTTAAACAAATGAGTTCGTTGCAGGTAAAAAAATCTTTCCATTCAGTCACATCACAAAGGAAAGGGAAACATTCAATTGAAAATAAAGCCTGTTAACATTGTGATCAGTTTCACAGTTAGTAACAACTGAGCGGAAAACCAACTTTTGCGGTAACATTTAGCAATGAAAACTTTACTGCGCACCCGGTAATAATTTCAAAGTTCCTGGAAATTCCTCTGGGATTTCTAAACTATCGATAGCCCATAATGAATACATATATTAAGGGTAAGTCAACAAAAACCGCCCTACACGAAGTTGTGAGGACCATAGAAAAATCAATATATTACAAGCAGTGCACTCTTGCTACCTTCCTCTACATAAGTAGATGGAGCATTTTGTGATGATCGTTGAAATCACTAAAATTAGTTACATACATCGTTCTCTTATCAATATCATTAGTCGATAACTTTACGACAAATTTATCATGTAAAATTGCTAGCTTATGCATGTGCATCGTTATCAATATATTTTAAATCAATTTTTACAATAATTCATCGATATTACTGATATCTAAATTGTTATTCGGTGAATATTAATTGGGTTACTACATCAGTGTTAACAACAAAAGGGTATCCTATCCATAAACATATGTATATGTCGAGATATTTATATTGATTTTTATCAACCAACGTTGCTACCCAAATTAATCGTTATTAGTGATAAGATGTTTTTGCTAATTGATATCACTTTGGTTATCGTCATTTTATTCGTGTTTGTTTTTTAATTTGCATACGAAAGAAAAACAACCATAATGCTGGATTTCCACTAGGCATTAAATGGCAAAAATTGTAATGCCATAGTTGGCCACTAAAAATAATCGTGTCATTACGTTAAAAAAATGGTCACTAAGTTCATTTCCATATGGCATTTTTTAAATGTCAATGTCTAGTGGAAATATGGCATAAGGATTAATTTGTATTTTTATAAAGATGTTAATGTGATTCAAACGCGTTGAGCTCGAGAAGTAGACTTATGAAATGCGATGGTCACCGAACTGTTTTTGTAACATGTACATACATATATAAATCGATGGTCCTCGGCAATAACGACACAATTCCAAATTCAAAAAATTTCGTCCCTTCCTACTGTTAAGTGTCTCATGTCTCAAGTACTTGTCTAATCCATATCTAATTCTTATTTTTATTTTTCGCATTTTGAATTGTGTTATTGCAGATGACCATCGAAATGTAGGTCGTTCCGATTGCGAAGACTTGACTGTCGTGAAAACGAATATTCGACAAAAAAAATTAACGTGATTAAAACGTTAAATTGATTAAAAACGTTATTAGTCCACAAAGTAACAAAAAAAAAAAAAAAAATCGAACTTAACGTCCGCTCTTTTTTCTTCATTCCGCAGATGCCCACGTAATACGTGAGGTTCAAAGCGTTTCCACAGTATCAGTGCGCGGTCACATACTCTACGTAGGCACACAACGGGGTCACATACAGGTGTATCAACGCAATCCCAATCACCCCTTCTCCTATAAACTAATGCAGGATGTGCCGCTAGCGCCACGCTACATAACCGAAATCTCCTGGAGTCCCATAGCCAGTGATCAAGTTGCTGTAGTGGCCAATGCCAACAACATACACATACTCAAAACGATATCATCAGAAGGTCTTCTAACGCCCATGCGTCGCATAGAGATTAAAAATCCAAAAGCTGCTAATGCTTGCGTCAAATGGAGCAACCGCAGTGCCACAGAGTTTCTCACTTGTGGTTTCGATGGTGGTATACGCGTTTGGGACTTGAATTGCAACACAAACGATGAGAAATTTCTTAAACAATTTCCCTGTCCAATGACGTGCGGCATCTTTTTGCCAACCGACGAACAGATTGTGATGTGTGCTGGTAAATCTACCTCAGTGGAGTTGTTTGATATGCGTTTAGAAGAGTCCGTAGTTTATTCGGCATCCAAATGGAAGCGCTCAAATACTCATACATTAGACCACGTCAAATGGGCCCTCAAAGTGCCATCGCGCGCTGATACGGCTAAACCATTGACGGCGGCAGAAAAACGGCGTAGCCACCGTAATGCGAATGGGGCTGATAATGAAATACCTGTTGGAGTAGAAAGTGCGGATGGAGCGGAGAATGGCGGGAATGCTGAAGTGGTCGATATGTTGGGGGCGTTGAAGTTAAGTGAGCCGACGCCAAATAGCACAGTGGAACAGAATGTAGGAGATGAGCTGGTAGTGCCGCAGCAGCAGCAGCAAGTGGTTAAGAAAAATGAAAATAAGACTGGCAGCGCTTCAATTTTCATGAGGGTAAGCTGAATTTGCAAAGAGCAAAAAATATATGCATCAACCACTTTTTTTTCAAATCCCTAGAATCCAACCACTTTATTAAACCTAACCACCAAGGAACTGAACAAAGATGTCTTGGAGAAATTGAATTTTGTCTTAAATCATTCAGGAAGCAGGAATTTACTTTGTTCGAAATTATTTGGCACAAAAGCAGAAGCTCAACATTTGTTGGCAGAAGAATGTAAGTACTGAATTGAACTTGAGAAATCAAGTCACAAGCCATGCTACATATCGCTGGTTTGCTGGAAGAACGTCATATTCTAAGGAATACAAATTTCGAGTAAAACCGCTGTAAAGCTTAATCCTTGAACAAAAAAAAAATATTAATACACGTAGATCTCGGCTCGACAAAATCTTAAAAAAGTCTCGGAAACCCCAAAATATCCTGAAGTATTTAATTAAATGCCTGAATAGTAAAGCCAAATGTCCGGAAAATAGCCCCAAGTCTTGATAAAACCTAAAAAAAATTCTGGGAGTTCCCGTCAAATAGAACACGAAACACCCCAAAAATAACAGAAAAGTCCCGAAATGAATACAGAGCCCGAAAAAGTCCAAAAACGAAGATCTCGAAAAGTAAAGCATAAATCCTGAAGGGGCTCGCGCAAATCTTGAGCGGTTCTGAAAAAAACCTGAAGAAAATCTTGAGAAGTCTCAAAAATTCGGAAAATTTCCGCTTAGTCTAACTAATGGCTTTCATTTTTACCTTTTGCGTCGGGTTTTGTGGAAAATATTCGTTTGCATAAATATCTGATATCTACAGTTATATTAAGAAAATAAAAATAAAATTAAAAATAAAATAAAAAATTAAAAAAATTAAAAAAAATAAAAAAAATTTAAAAAAAAATAAAAAAAAGTAAAAAAGTAAAAAAAAAATAACAAAATAAAAAAATAAAATAAAAAATTCAAAAATTAAATAAAAAATAAGATAAAAAATAAATAATATATATATATATCCCACACGATCTTCAAAAGGGACACAACTAAAAATTTGGCATTTTTGAAATTATGCACTAGTAATGTACACAGAGGTTTTATTTACCTTTCAGCAAAAGCTGGAGCTAATTTTCGTTATAAAGGTAAAGTCTCCCTGGCCATATGATTAATATGTGCTAAGAAATTGTTTTTCGCATTATTTGACGAACGTGTGATTTTGAGTTGTGTCACCTTTGAAGATCGTCTGCAATATTTTAAGTATATATATTTTTTTAATTACGTATTTTTCAATTACATCTTATTTTCTTCAGTAAAACATCACAAATACTCTAAAACTACGGGCATATCCAACTTATTTATGACACAACTAAATTCTTCAATCAGAGAAGAAATATTGAATTGTATACAAAACAAGCAACTGAGCGAATGGCATGTAGCTGTTGCACCTACCATATCATACGGGTGAGATTGGGTTTTCATACCTTTATGAGAACATAATACACTGCCGGAACAAAGTATAGGCACAGCAAATTTTTCACAATATATGCAACAATTTTATCTCCAATATTTTTCCGCTAATAAAATTTTTTCCGCGTATTAAAATAGGGTTCATTCAACAACAAAAAACATCAAAATATACGATGGCTGAGTGGAAGATCGACCTATATCGGCAGCCAGTTCGAAAACGCTCTATCTCAAAAAACTTTTCAAGAACGCCCTATTTCAGAATTTAATTGAAAAACACCCTATCTCAAAATTCGGTTCAAAAACGCCCTATCTAACTTCAAAATGTATTGAAAATATGCTGATATAGGGCGTTTTTGAATCGGCAGCTGAGATAGGGCGTTTTTGAAACGAATTCTGAAATTGGGCGTTCTTGAAAAGTTTTTTGAGATAGAGCGTTTTTGAACTGGCTGCCGAGATAGGTCGACCTTCCACTCAGCCATCGAATTTTTGACTAGACTAACTCCGAACTTGCATTTTTTTACTAGAATTTAATGGGCTTCAAATCTGCATACTCAAAAAAAATTCTAAAAATCTGATTAAAAAGTTGAAAATTTTGATCAAAATTTGCTGAATTTTCGCGAGTTTTGCACAAAGTTTAGGAATTATATTTTTATGCCTTTTGTTGTTGAATGTACTATATTTTTATACAAAATTGGCGGAAAAATTTTAGAATAAAAGTTTTTGCATATATTGTGAAAAATTTGCTGTGCCAAGACTTTGTTCCAGCAGTGTACATACATCCAACGTCACAAACTACCGATAAACGTGATAAAACAATATATTTGTATATAATTTATAAATTTGTCATGTTAATTTTATATTTATCTGTTAAAGTTTCTGGCAAAAATGTTGCCAGGCCTTTGCCGATCAACTTTTGGAGCAAGGCTATGCACTACAGGCCGCCACTTATATAATAGCAATGCACCACCATGTTGAAGCTATCGAAATGCTAATGTCAAGGCATTACTACAAAGAAGCACTGCTAATCGGCCGCATTCACTTGCAAAAGGAGGATCCATTACTATCCAACATTAGCGACAAGTGGATTACACATTTGGATATGACTGGAAATTTGACTGGTTCGGCGTTACTGTGAGTAAAATCACATAAACTTACATACATACATACATACACACAATTTTAAAAACCACAGTAATTTTGTATAGATATTCACCATAAATTTTTGTTCACCAGTTCATCACCTCATTTATTCCAAATATTTTTAAAGTACATATATTGCATATTCTTAAACACAAATTAAAATATTCTTCTCTGCATTTTAGTTGCGTACTCTCAGGCCAAATGAATCGTGCTTATGAAACTTTAGCCAAGGTGCGTAATATTCATCCCGATATTGAACGTGTACTTGAAAAGATGAAAAGCAAACAGCTTGTGAAGCAGTAAGGCTAGACTGACAGCTATTCAGTATAAATACTTAGATTAATGATTTTCTACAATAATATGACCTACAGACATATTGAAATATTGAAGTTATTAAGAATTGCTCGAATGGCATTGTTATTGTTTACTTTACACTTACGTTTTTGTAAAAGTTAACTCTTTTTTAAAATACTGATTTTTATACAAATGAATTTTTAGTAATTGATTTTGAAGTGTATCAGAACATAAAGCGTGAAATTGAAGTAACATAAAATTACAGATACGATTTTTATTTAAATTGCATATCGAGACCTTACGATGAAAAATAACGTAGGCGAAATTTTTTTCCAAAATTTTATTTCTTATACGGAAATGCTCTTAGAGTATTTAGGTGCATTTCTGCAAAAAATAAAATTTTGAAAAAAATGTCGCTAAAATTTTTAGGTTAGGTTTCGAGATGTGGTTTCTGCGCCAGTAGACCACCAGTGTCTGATTCTGAAGCAACTTTAATTGATTTCCACGTTCGATCATCTTCTTGTTGTCCGCTGAAACCGCCTATAAAATTTTGGCCGATTGTGAGAAAAACCAACTTGCGCCAAGGAGCTATTGGGATTTAAACGTTCATTAAACCCTGGGCAAACTATTAAAATAAGTTCCAGCTGCTAGAATCTGCTAGCCTTGTATTTATTTGTTATTGGTACTCCGCAGTCCATTTTGATCCCTACTGAAAAGATGCCACCAAAATTTAGCTCTATTCCACTCCAGGAGCACATAACGCGCATACGATCATACCAATGATAATCTACATTGACGCTTTAAAGATGCGGACGCTGGTCTCCACTCGGAAAACCTGATAAGGTTCAACATGGAAAAGGTATTATATTGGTTGAGAGTAAAAAGAATTTAAAAGAAAAATTATTATCGAAGGACCAATCTACCAAGCAGATTCTTACCGATGTCATAGGGGGCATTGTACCATTGCACCAATGCTCCAAGTATACCAAAAACTTATCTGGAACAAAGTCTCTTGGCAGCTCAGGCAAAAATTCTTTTGACGAGGTTTACAATTAGAAACGATGTAAAAGTTTAGTAACCTTCCGAAGAAAAAATTAAAAATTTTAACAGGTATTTTAACTCTGAATCTAGTCTTACGATACTTCTATACTTAACCATCTGGCTAGCTATAACCAAGAAATCAACTACTCCGCTCCAACTACCGCCTTCGACAGGCGCTTTAGAGCGAACATTCTGTCAAGAATAGAGTGGCAAACACCAAGGCCATGGATCAATTTCTACCCTGATGGATCTAGGCTAAACAGGAGTTTTCTCCGTATTTTAATTATCCGTCTGAATTCCGGACCACTGCATCTTTTCTCAGACAGAAGTTCTAGCTATGAAGAAGTTGCCTGTGTACCTTAATAAACATGCCGTAACGAAGTCTACGATAAAAATCTTCTGGGATAGCCAGACGGTTATAAAAGCAATGAATGTGGTAATACCTAAGTTAAAGGCTGCACAGGAACGCCTTGCAGCTCTAAATGATATTAACGTCGTCTTCAAGTTGCAGAGTTTCCAAGCGCATCGCTATCGATCTCAAATTAAAAATTTCGATGCGAGTTACGTTCGATATCGAGTGCCGTGATTCGGGCCCTGAGCAGATTGTTTAGGCAAATACTTCTTTAGCTCTATTACGGAACGGAACGGAATAAAACCATTCCTACGCTTCGTAAGGGCTTTAAAATGGTTCCATGAAAATAGTCACTGAGGCTCTCGTGTTTGACAGTGGTATCACAATAGACCTGCAAGTTCTAAGTGAGTTGGTCATTTGAACTGACTGCCACATTAACCTAACCTAACCTAAGACGGCGCATGCGATTACCTAGCCACAGTCGTTACATTAACAAAGATTTTGTCTATTTTATGGAACCCCGTTTAAAGCGATATGCCTGCTCCCGGCTTTCACAGGGAGGTAACGCGCTCATTTTGCAAAGCGCTGCTCTATCTGAACATCACCTGCTAACGACCAAATTGGTCTAGCCCCGAATAACGGTGCCCATGATCGAATGAAATTCGACTCGAAATGTCTTATCTAATCCTGGGAGCAGTGTTGCCACTTTCCGTATAATTATACGAAATTAGTATAATTTTACAAAGGTATGTATAATTTTTGTATAAAATATTTTTATCTCTATCTTTGTCTATTTTGAGTCATCTCATTTTTGTAACAGAATAATGAATTTAAAGCGCCAAGTATAAAATAGGCAATACGAAATTGCAACCAACCCAGTTTGACGTCAATGTTGTAACGCGTTCTTGGTGATCAAAGCTTCAGTTTACTTAAAATTAATATCAATCGCACTGTCTATGTCGGGCTTGTAATTAATGATATGAAGAATAGGCTGGTCAAAAAATGCAGGTGAGAAATTAAAGTCGAAATGTTCAATGCTCTCACCTCCTACGATTGTTCTTTGTCGAAAAAAATACTCCTTAAAAAACATATTTAGAGGTCGCTCAAAGTCTCCCATGCATTTCAAAGGTTTTTTTGCAGATACTCCAAATGTCATGCTTGGCAAATTTAATTCTATTGTACATAGTACTTTTAAAACCGCAAAAACCAAATATCGTAACAATGAAGTGCTCTGGGTACACAACTCATATTGTAGCTTCCAAAGATGCTTGAAATTGCCTATGCATATCGAAGATTTGCTACAAAAGATTGGTGCATATTTTAGCAGAAGTTATGTTCATAGAAAAGCTAAAAGAATTTCAAGAATACTTCAATGTTGCAATTCAAAAAGTTTTGAGGCCCACCAAAAGATGTACGCGTTGAACGAGAATTATCATGTCAAACTATCGAATGTGAAAAATGGCACTTTTCAGGAGAGCGAAAAAACTGTTGTAAAAAATGTTGTTGTCATTAGGAAAAGGTGTAGAATTTGACACTTTGTTAAAGCCTAAAGAAGGCTCGATATTGAACGATTTGCCAACTTGCGTATCATTCTAAGCGCATGCGCAAGGTATCATAATTGAAAAGGCATTTTTGCACATTCGATAATTTGAGATGGTAGCGACGATATAATTGTATAGCAGTCGACTTTGGCGATGAACTATTCAATATTTCAAAAATTTTGGACCGTCATTATGCGGAGGCTTTGCAGCTGGCTCGTTTTAAAGGGATACATTTCCATTCATTTTTATTCAGGCAGGTTTTGCAAATCACTTCCGAGTAAATTTCACTCCAATTCGCTTTGAATTCAAATTGGCAAGGGTCCAAGATAATGAGTTGCGAAGTCACGCAATTTTAAATTATGTAGAACTACATCTGGTTCCTAATTTAAATGTCGAGTCTTATTGGAAGAAATTATTAATTCCTCAGAGCAATGCGGGCTTGCAGCCGCATTTATTCAAATTAAGCCAAAGGATAATGCTTGTATAATTTATAATCTCAAAATTTTTGTGTATAATTTAGGTTGAAATTATACCATTTCTGTAGATTTTTTCATTCGTCTGATGGCAACCCTGCCTGGGAGTCTAAAATTCACTATCTATTTGAATGTGTTATGTTTTGTTTTTTGTTTTCCAAAAAAGACAAATTTTAATCTGCAACAATACCTCAGTTTGCGTTATGGGGCTTTTCTTTTTTTTTCGTTCCCAAAATTTCCACACCTTACCTATGTATGTGTGTATATACCAGTGTATGCAAACCTACGAATGAATTATACTTTTTTTTTTATAGAAATGGGGGCAGCAGTGAAGCCATAAATTAAAGCATAAATATATGTCATAGCATGCCTTCCATTCCATTCAATACTCAGATATCTACATATATGCAAATACTTTGTATAAGTAAAACAAAAGAATTCGACCAAGAGGCGGCAGATTCTCACGAGTCGTCTAAATTCAATAAGGAAAAAAAAATATAAGAGTGTCGGAAGGCGCTCGCATTGTCCACTACAAAGCAACGTACATTTAAAACGCCTCTGCTGCCTTCGACCACCACCCGCCAACATTCCGACTTTATTGCGTGTTAACCGTTGAATTAAAAGCACAAGATTCGCTAAAAATATTATACTCGCAAGATAAGAAACGGAATTGTACACATTTTTGTTTACACTTTTTACGACTCAAAGAATGTGCAATGGGTTCGAATAAATTTTAATTCACACGCAAGCAGATAATTTTATTGGAATTGAAATTAACGGTTTATGCAATACAAAAAAAAGCTGTATAATATTACGGCGAAAAGAAAAACAATAAGTATGTACAATGATTTAACCACCGTGCACTTGTTTTGGGAAATAATATTTAGCAATTTTGGTTTTTTTTTTCGCACGCACCATTAAGATAAACAACAGTAAATGTAAACTGGATAGCAGGCACACTATATGATTATGATGTTTGTCGCAATAAAAAAAATGTGTCCCTTGGTCTTAAAACGGTTAAAAGAAAGTGAGGATCCGGTGTGATGTTAAGCCTCATCGCGTGAAACCCAATTCGGCAGTGTCGTGTAAATTGTACACCCATCAGAATTTATAGTAGCGGATTTGAGAGCCTAAGGTGTTCCCTAGACCGCCTCCGCTTTAATCGTTGCAAAAAACTTTAATTTCTCGTTTAAAAAATTTGCAAAGGTTGGCTCTACATACACGGCCACAGAATTCGTTAGGGTTGGGAAGGTGCCGGTTCTATGAATCCATGTTAAAAGAAGTCTGCTTTAGAAGAAAATTCCAGGCCAAAGTACTAGATGTATAAAATGGTATATAGACGGCTCAAAGATGGAGGGCAAAAAACTTACCATTGCAATGGGTACTCCGCCCATAAGCGTTTTAAAGGCGTCTAGGAATTTCAGAATTTTCAGACAGCTGGTGGCCATCAGGGTCCTATCCAATCGGATGATTACCTGCAGGCCACTTCGGGAGCGCTTTGACTCTCTAATACACTTGGCAGCGGGAAACACGGCACATTTACGCTGGTTAGTTACTAGGACACTACTGGATTGAAGGTAACGGGTCGCTGGCGAACTGGTTAGGAAAGGCCCATCATCTGTCCTTGTTGGGCCGGAGTCGCTCTGCGGACTCAATTGGTCCTACTTCAGACTTCGAGTTACAGAGTGTGTAACCTCAGAACGCTGTAAGTGTTTGGGAGCGGCAGTTTGAACTAGACGGGCTAGGCTTTTTTTATATGCTTCTGTTAGGAAAGACATACTTTTTTGAATATCACGTTTCTTACTGGTTAGCTAATTGTTCACAACCATATGTGATCTCACAAGCACCGAATCGGCCTGGCCACGGAGACGGAATGCCGTCTATGTCTTGAGCCGGAGCACATTCTGTGTTATTGCCGAACTCATAAGTATCAGGAATTCGCCTACCAAGTCATTGTTAGATTTTATTAGGGAGTCTGATATTATGTTGAGTTGTCAGAGTTGGGAACTTATCAAAGGCATACAAAAGATCTTGTGGGTCGCGATGTCCTGTATTTCTGTTTTTACTCAATCAATTAACTAACTAACTACATACACATTTGGGGTCTTTCCTACTTCCCCCAACCGCAATGTCAGCTCCTACAATAATCCTTAGGTTAGCTGGATACCTGACACATGAAGCCTCGAATGACCGAAAAAGTCTTTTCTAACAGTGGTCATAACTGGGAATCCAACGCTTCAATTCAGAACATAATTTTGAGACGAAAAGGCTTGCCATAAATTGAAGCCGAAGGTCGGCCTAAAATTTATACTTCCTTCAGGTAAGCGAAAGTCATCTGTCGCTTTGCTATGCATATGTAGGTATTGAAGAAAGAAGAATCAAGTTCAAAGTTTCAGTAGACCTTATCTAAAATACACTACTGTTTCTAGCATTTTACCGCTGCGAGTGAAACAAACCGGTGAGCAAATGTAGAGCGATTTCTTCGATACGAAATACTGACGACAGCTGCTTCATTAAACAATGAAAGCCTACAATTTTACTCTCCCAAACTCATGCCAACTATACACACTCTGAAATTAATATCCAAAGCCGAAAGTTCAACGCTGAAACGCCCGAAACCATATAGCCGCTAGCAACTATAGTCGCCAATGCTTCTGCGCATGCGAGCGCAATCAGTTGCAAAGCGTTTGGCGTGGTGAGCATACGTACAAACGAGTAGTCACGGACAGCGTTTTGGCAAGCAATCAAGCGAGCAAGCAACCGACGTACTAGCTGTGAGGCAGGCAAACGCGCAAGTTCGTTGCTTAAGTCTTTCGTTCGTTTTCACTTTTCGCTTAACGGTGGTGTGTAGCTAGTGCCGGCATTCATTTGTGTACATACATACATACATACCTGTTATATGCTTGTACTACATGTACATATGTATGTATTCTAACGTTTTGCGAGTGTCGAAGCAGAGCAAACAGTTAAAGATGTGCTGATGATACATTCTTGTTAACACAACGAGACAAACCAGTGAGATGTTTACGATATTAGCATAAATAAACTGTTGCCTTTGCGGTAATTGCTATAAATAGACCAGACGGTGGTGGTGGTGGTGGTGTGCGATGTGTGGAAAATAAATGTTTTTTTTTTTTATTGCTTTGCTTTAATGTTGTATGTTAAGTGCGTGTTGTAATTAGAGCTGATCGTTGAGCAGGTGGCATGTGTACATAGAAGTATGTGGCACGCATGCGCTGTGGAGTGGACAAGCGCTGGTAAACAACGAATTCGTTGAATGTGTGACAAATAATTAAAAAGTAATTAAAGCGCTAATTGGTGGGAAAAGAAAGCGAAAACGGGGGCTATGAGGAAAGGCTAAAGAAGTGGAACAAAATGTGTGAACGAAAAAATAAAATAAAATTTTAAATAAGAAAAAAAAAATAATAATAAAAAGATGAAAAAAATTAATTCAATTCTAGTTGAGGCAAATTACAGCGCGCTTGCCTTTTTTTTTAGTTCAAACTATGCATATTACCTTGCAACTTTTTACCTTTTTTATTCTTTTTGAGTTGAACTAATTGCTGTGTGACTTTGTAACAGAAAACAATAATAAAAGTAACAATTAACAATGCCACTTGAATATGTGTATGGGAAAAAATGCGTTCAAAAGTTAAAATGCTTAATTAAACCAGTGCAAGTGTACGCGAAGATAACAATAAGAACAACAGAAAAATTAACTTAGCAAACAAATTTGCAAAATTAAAACGTTGAACAAATTGCAGTCAAAGCGTCAAGACTAATTTCTTTTAACGTGAAAAAAATGTGACTGCTTATTAAAAATCTACTCAGCTACTTGAGCAGGCAGTTGGGCAGTCAGTTGGCTAGCCAGTTAGTTTGGTGGATAAGCTAACCGACACGTCGCTCAGCAGACAGCTCAGTTAGTCAGTAAAGTCATCCCGTCAGCAGCTCAAACGACAACAACGCCCAACTTACGCTGTCATGAATTTAAATAAATACACCAATACTTCGTATATACATTAGGATGGTCCAAAAATGCATGTGAAAAAGTAAAGTCGGAATTTTTATGCTCTCACCCCCTAGGATTGTTCTATATCGAAAAAAAGGAATACGTCTATTTTTTTATTTTGAAATCAACAAATATTTAGAGGTCGCTCAAAGCACTCAAAGTTTTTCATGTATTTTTATATGGGAAAAAGTAACTTTTCGTATAAATGGTATAGAATTCTTAAAAATCAATATTTTTCTACTCTGCTTATCGGCAAAAAATTTAAATTTTTGAATTTTAAAGAAATTTCCTCTTTTTTCTATTTTAATTCTACATTTTTTTAAATAATTTTTGGAATTAATCATATCTTGGAAATTACAAAAACGCCACTTTAAATAAAAAAAAGTAGGTTTTAAACTCACATCTCGAAAATCCCGGGATCGTAGAAGACGGAAAAATTATCAGCACTAATAGACACACATCACAAATAAATTTTATTTACACTATACTCACACAAATTGGTGCTCCGTCTCATCCTCTTCAAGGCAGGAAGGTCAAATGGGGTTGACTGGTATGCCAGTTGTTTGCGCAACGAGAATTGATCAGTCAGCAAATTTCACAAATTATCAGCAATCCAATCGGATCGGAGAAAGTAGTAAATACTTAGCCTAGACCTTGCGGGAGGGAGGACAACATATATTTTGCCCACCTGCAGGTCTTCGATCAGGCCTGTCAACTTGGCTCAAACCGCGCTACTTTTTGCCCTATTTCACTTAAACTAGGTGTGGAAAAGACCTGGTTCGCGGAAAGACTTTTTAGTCTGAGTTGTTCCAATTTCATGGCTCTTCCGACCTTTTTGTCCAATTTAGGTCCATCAGTGTAGAACCGAATATAGTCAGTAGTTCCTGGAACGTCGTGGTCACAACTTTATACCCTTTGTGGATGTTTGTGATTGGCATGCTGTAGTCCGTTTATCCCGCAAACGGTGTGACCAAAGTGATTCGCTCTCCAGTTGGACAATTTTCGCAGTTTTACATCACCAAAGGCTATACTATGTTTTACTATTATGTCTAAGGACAACGTTTTTGGCAGCACTTTCTTCCCTTCCGTGGATGTAGTATGCAGAGCCTCACTGATCCATTCATTCTACTTTCTATAGTGGGAGGGTGAGATTTCCCCGCAGGTAATATACATATATGCATATCAGGGCATACGGTTGCTGAAATTATACTATTAGACTAATTCACACTGCATAGGAAGAATAATCGGTTCTTCCTCTCCAAAAATTCTGAAATTTTTGTATATGGATCTCGTCAAAATATTTCGGCTCAATTTAAAATAACCTAAAATTTTCGTTTTTCATGTAAGTAGTTTATGTCCCAAAACGTTATTCTCGAATTGAGGTGATTGTCTTATATTTCACTTTGAGAATGAGCTGGATTTCACTTTCTCTCTTGTTACCATGGTTACCATTCTTTCGAACCCATCTCGAGTGTATTTACAATCTACTACGAACGTTGGAAATCTAAGGTTGTTATGAGTTCGTTTTTAATTCGATATGCATATTCGATATCCGAGATCATTTTCGAACGTTCGACACAATGTTTATTGTATCATAGACCGTACCACCTTAAAGGCAAAAATAAAAAATATAATCGACATGGCCTTTGAATCGAAGTACTTCCTTAGTTTAATGATTTTTAGCAAGTTTTAATTTATTTACATTAGGGTGGTACGGCAGGCTGACAAGAACTAAGATCTGGTGGGTAAGTACTATAACACGGTACTTGAAGTGGATGAACTTTAGGACAAAAAAATGTCTCCTTGAGACAAGAAAATTGATATATCCTACTTTAGGATCCGACTGTTAATGGCGAAGATATGACGAAAAATGTAAAAAGGAGACCCTTACGTTCGACCAAAAAACAAATTTATTTTCGAAACTGACCCTCAAAAATATTTTAATTCGAAAGTGTATGGCACATTTTTTTTTGATACCGCGTAATGTACATTAGGGCGGGTCAATTTGTATAGATGATTTTTTCGACTATGCGCGTATAGCACAGGTAAAGAAGTGCTTCAATGTTGTATAAAAAAACATGCTATATATTATTTTCCTAAAACTTCCACCAGAGGGCGCAACAGTGAAAACTTTTGCATTTTCTTCGAATACTCATATGCAATACGCACATGGTAACCAAAAATTGACCAGCCCTAACATACATACATATGTATAGTCGTATATGAATTTCGAATGATTGATCCCTTATGACTAAGCGTTAAAAAATGTCTACGCCACTCACATAATTCGCGAGACGCTGTTGTGTTGACAACAATTACGAAGGAAAAATTATACAGAGTGGTTTGACACACCTTCACCGATGGATACGTAGGTACACATGTATGCATGTACATACGTTCACAGTTCTTATATATTTTGCATACCTATATTAATATATAGCATTGCTTGAATATACATATGTATGTAGGAGGAGTATTACATGCAAACCGGCTGATACCTGTAATAGTCTTGCAACCACTATATACTTTTGCTTATAAAAAAAGATAAACAAACAACAATAACAGTTAAAAATATAAAAGTGGGCAAAGCAAGCGACTAACTGGTCCCAAGTTGATAATAGTTTAGTGCGATAATTGGCTGTTTGACAGGTTTTTTTTTTTTTTTATACGGTATCAGGACGATTTAGTCTTCATGCGGAAAGTTTATCATCGCCTGACATTGATTTGATTTACATTTTTGAAGCAAACAATCTAGAAATTCAAGAAAAAAATAAGTAAAACCAGATTGAAATCAATACACATGCAAATTTTCATTTAAGTTTACTTTTTAAAGAATTATGGTACAAATTATTTTGTTTACGTATTGCGCTTCTTTACTTAGTCAAATATTTGTATAATACTGTATTTAAAACACGCTTTTTGGTGGCTTTGGCAAACGCGAACTTAAGAAAACATATTAGTACTTAATAGGATAGATCAAAGGCCTGTCAGTACAAGCTCCGGCTCGAGGGAAACTGGAAACGAGGAGGCCAGCGAAGACTTGAAGGCGATTTCTGGAGTTGGAAAGTCGAGTTATGAATCCGAGCTGGAGTAAAGTTAAGAGATTGACTCATCGAAATAGATCTGATTGGTGAACATTTGTTTAAGCGGTTTGTTTATTTACCCTTGATCGAGCCAAAAAAAAAGTTCGCCGTACACACCTGAGTCTAAAGTATTTCAATTGATACAAGGCCACGTGTCGCCGTCGGTTTTCTTTATTAACTACACTTCCGTGTCTCTTTGGGTTTCTATGTCAGAGCTATTCAAAAATCTTCTGATAGTTACACCTTCTAAACCTGGGATCTGGGGTGCAATTATAGAAGTTCTATGCATAAGTACGGGTATTGCATCTGCATAAAAAATATATAATATATTTACTATTGATTAAAAAAATATTTTAGCCCTTCAAATTTCAAATCCGACCAGTTTCCTAAAAAAAAATCAACCAACTATTGCGCTGGAGTCTGGGTATGTACAAGTACAAGATCCAACCTACCCAGGAGCGCAAAGTTAATCACTATAGACAACGCTGTTTGTTCGCTGACTGGGCGGCTTTCGAAGCATTTGGAATAGGACCCAAATTTCGGACTAAAAATTATCTCTAGAAAAAAGGCGATTTTGAATGTCTTGAATTTAATAAAAGTTCAAGCTTGCGAAATAAGTCGGAAATAAATATGCAAAAAATAAGAACAAGTAACTTTTATGCAAAAAACAAAACCGACTTCAATTCTCATATAAAAAATGTAAGATTATCGTTAATTTCTTCATGATGCGATTACCGGATTTAAACCATTAATATGGGACCACCTGTGAGGTTACACCTTTCCTTTAAAAAAAAGCATTATAGAAATCGGTTAACGTGGTCCACAGTTATGCGGTAACATACATAAAATAAAAAAATATTCCGACGAATTGATAACCTTTCTCCTTTTTGTGAAGTCGGTTGAAAAGGAAACAACTTTCATGTACTTATGTATAGTCTAAGATCCGACAAAGGCACGACCTTCACCCATCTGTTTATTGGCTGAAATCCTTTCTCTATCAAATTTAACTTGTTAACTTGTTGTTGTTGTAAAACAAAAATCTTTAATGCCACTAGCCATTGAAAAGTAAAATGAAATTAAAAAAAAAATTACAAGTACTTAAAGAAAACTCATAAAACTACAATTAAATTCATTGGAAATTTTTATAGTAACGAATGTGATATCCGTGAAGCAGTAACGATTATGCATGGGTGTGTGTGTGTGTGCAAATTCCAATAAAAGTGGTAATAATGATAGTAAAACGCTGGCATTAGGCACTAGCAGCGACAAAAACAAAAGCAATAAAAAATTAATTGCAGAAAAATAGTCATTAATGTATTAAAAGCAACAAACAAAAACAAAAAACGACATATTTTTGTTGGCTTGCGCCATACTTGTACATTTGTACATTTATTGCAAGGTACTCTGGTTAAACACAAATCTACAACTGCAGTTGCCAACAAATCCCAGAGCCTAGGCGCCACGCGCGGTACAGCTGCTGTACTTTCCTGTCAACATTCAGCGCTGGGAAGCGTTTGGAATGTGCTCACTCAACACGAGCGGGCAACTAAATACGAATACATACATATAACAAAAGCAACAACAACAATAACGAAGATATTACAACGACACATTGCAGCAACCGTGACGTACGACAACGAAAGTGAAAGGTAATTTGTAACTTTTTTTCCACATAAACTTAACATAATATACATATGTATATACATATGAACATTATTAATACTACATTAATTCATTTCTTCAGACAACTGTAAAATCATGCATTTACATACAAACTAACATTTTTCGTATTTCGCATTATTTATTTGCATGCAAATAGCTCAGTGTGCTTTGATATACTAATTTTTATAAAGTAGGCTCTTTCATGCTTTATTATGCGCGCGAAAATGTCATTGCAAAAAATATAAAACATAGTAATATAGCCATAAGCGGAATCAAATGAAGTGCAGTGTAAAGTATTAAAATTCTCCCGCTGCGCAGGCGCGCGATTACAAGCGTAATCATAAAACCGTCGCATAATCGGTTCACTGTTTCTGTTTCGCTTTTCATGCTAAAGTTATTGGCAATCGTAATCGTCCACCATTATTATTGGCATTACAATAAACGCACAAATACAAGTGTTAGCTAAAATATGTATGCATAAATGTGTAAAAACGCACAATAAATAAATTGTTGGTTGGCAAATTGCAGGCAGCAGATAACGCTTGCGAATTGCTTTATTAAATTTATGCGCACTTTTCTTAATGGCTCAGTTCGTTTGCAGTGCCATGAAAATTAAAATAATTTGAAATATTTTATTCATAAATTTCGTCGTTTTATCAGTCAACAGGCATTCATTGCGTGTCTGTATTACTTTTAACGCCTCAAGCCTTGTAGTATTTATACAATACTTATACACATAAGTATATACATATGTACACGTAGATATGCATACACAGTGCAGGTCACTTGAATAGCTCCCCTTTTTGATCCTCAGTATTTTATAGTTTCTACTTACACATATGTATGACGGCGGAGATAAAGGCCTTATCATTCAGGAACATGGACAAGCTAGCCTCCCAGATTTCACTGCATCTATTCCTCAGATGCGATATGCTTAGAGTAGTAAGTTTTGAAAGAACCTATAAGTTGATTATACATATAGCAAGGCGACCTGGAATACCGCTATCGGTGCCCCTAGGAACCTTCCTAAGCATCTTTCAAGCGGAAGTGTTTGCCATTAGTCTTTGCGCGCAGAGATTAACCATCTTAGGAAGTGAGGGGATCCTAGTCTTAACTTATAGTCAGGCGGATCTCTCAACCTCTGAGGTAAAATTCTCATTGGTTCTGGAGTGTATTGAGAGAAAGCAAATGAGGAAGCTGATCAGTTAGCCAGAATAGCTGCTTCATCGACCCTGATAGGACCAGAGCCGTTACTTGCGCTAGGTACCAGTATGATTTATTATGCCACTAAGTGCCAGGAAAAGAAAATCCCAAACTGAAAAAACTGAAGGTCTTCGTCAAGGTGCGGCTAAGAATAATTGCAGGTCCCTATAGATTAAGATCTTTGTCGCTTTCGTGATTCCCGCCAAAGTGACATCTTTGCATTTCCTCCTCCTGGAGCTTGAGGTCTTTTCACGGAGAAGGGAGAGGTGCATAGGCAAATACACTCTCTACCATAGGGATCTATTTATTCTGAAATTTATAGACTCATAAAAAAAAATTAAAAAATTTTGATAAATGTTTTAAATTTTGAAAATCATATTAATATGGGCTCCGTTATTGAATAATTTATATATTTTATAAAAAAAAATTTTAATATTAAATTAACAGAAGGAAAACTGTGATACTGAGGATTAAAAGTGGCGCCATTCAAGGGGCCAGCACTGTTTGTATCTATGAATATATGTATAATAGAAAATTTCCTCAGACTATAATAGTAGCATTGTCATTGAACTCGTGCATTTACAAGGCGCACACAACTCGCATCAACTTCTCACCTCTGTTCCATTTACATATTTACGTACGTATGTATGGTATGTATACTACATATTCATATATGTACCAATATTACGTTACTAGCATTTGAAATTAAGGCGCACGCAATTTTTCAACAGTCATTGGCTCATAGCGCTGCAGCTCATCATTGTCATCATCCGGCGCATCACTCCACACCTATGTAGATAGATCATGTATGTATGTATGTATATTAGTTAAAGCGTTTACTTGTATTTCTTTTTCTGTGCTACCCACTCGGATTATGAAATTGCAACATGCCATCATAGAAATCTTATTTAATTATGGTATTGTCATCATCTTTGAGGGTAGGTTAATTTTACTCAAAGTTATGTTAGGCGTCAATCTCTGTTGATATTCACTTAATCTCAAAAAGTCCTTGGGAAACGATGCTGGAGTAATAGTCGATATGAATACGGGGCGTTCCGGTTATGTATGTAAAGCCGACTGTCGTGGGAAAGTTTGTGTTTGTGGTCACCCTGGCTTTCATTGTCCACCGATGGGTACCGAAAAGATGAGTATTTTCTCCGCAGCTCATACACCATACATTCGCCATATCCTAGCCAGCGTAATCGGTGTTATTTGTATCTTCTTCATAGGGTCATAGATCTTATGTAGAATACCGCGAAAGCACACAAAGTATACTCATATTTGTTCGACATAGTAGTTGCCTGGTTGTAATTTGTTTTGTTTCCGTTCACCGCTAGATCAACCAATGTCATCTGCATACGCCAGCAGTACCGCATTACGTTTCGCTTGTTTGATCTCAATTTGGACGGAGCTAAATGCTGTGTTCAAAGTCACACTATGTACCCTGCAGCAATTAGGCAAAGGGAGTTTCGAGTAAATACCTCCATCGATCATCCAATCGGAGTTTGATCCATCCATTTAAAGCCTGCTAGTTTCAGAGCGCACAGAGGCTTTTAGACTGACAAATGTCGTCCGGCAACCGATTCGGCATAACACGATATCGGTTATGGAGATTTTATTGAGGAGGTAGAGGATGAAACCCTATGGCCTCCGAAGCTAACATTACTGAGTGTCCTTTTCAATAGAAACGGTCTGTGGAGAGAATCAACGAGAATCTCTACGGAAATATGTGTATAAAAAATTGCTTATAAAACTAAGAAGCATTGTTACCTTGATATGTATTTTTTTTTTTTGCAATTCTTTTCGTCAAACCATTTCCACTTTCAATGTTTTAAATACTGTGTTTATCAATGTTAATTGATGGTAAAGCGCTGATAAATTTCAATTATTTCTGCCAGTAATTAATTGTTTCTTAACAATGAGTGCGTAAATAATTTGAAATGATCGTTTTACGAGTTTATACCTATACTTATGTATGTAGGTTTAGTACATCACCAATTAAATTGAATTTAGCTTACTTTTAAGGGCATGTCCAAGTATGATAGACATTGTTAAAAATGAATTATATTTTTATAAATCTCTTGTTTTGAGTCATATGTTTTTGAATAATTTGAAAATTTCAAAATTACATTTCTCGACTGAAAAATAAGATATTCGAGCTAACTTCATGCCACACAGTTTGTTTTTTAATACTCCATGCGAATTAATCATAGCAATTGCGACAGAAGCAACATTTTGATATGAAACAAGATAGTTTCGAAAGCTAATGTAATTACTTTTCACGGAAAAATATTGCCATTGAGCCACAATTACTACTTGACCTTAAAATAATTGGTCAATAATAGTGTTCTTCGAAAAAGAAACATGCAAAATCCAATGGATTTATTCCGACAAAAATGTTGTGTTTTTTATTATATGTACTAATATTATAGACTGTTTAAAACGAAAAAAAAATGTTAACCCCTAAATTTGAAAAATCCATTATATATTGCATTTTTTTATGATTTGCATCCTTCACCAAATTTTATATCACTCGAACACCACACTTATATAGTATTTCTTTATTTGTTTTAATATTAATTGGATCTTGCTCTCACCAATCATTGTAGCTTCTGCCGTCTCCTAATTTAAACTTTTAACCCTTCGGTTAACGTGGTTAACTAATAAAACTGTATGGATTTTTATCTTTAAAAGGGCTCTCCTTATAAGTAACAATAACAGTATTAACGATATAATTCCACTGTTAAGCAGGAATCACACGATTTGTACATTTGTACAGATTTATCCATTTTCACCGTTACAGAGTGGTGTTGTGTGGAAAGCTTTTACTGAACTGCCCTCATTCTCGATCAAAATTTCTAGACAACACCACTCTGTGACTGTCAAATCTACTAAATGATTGATTTTATATAAATCTTATAATCCTAAAGTTTTATGCCGCTTCCAAGTATTTTCATAGACTACAACTAAACTTTTCATAAAACTAGATTCGAAATTAAATCAATTTCAGATAAAAAACAAATATCCGTACAAGTGGCTAGCGTACTAATTTGAATAATGATTACTATTAAAACGGTAACGTAAAAACTGTAAAAATTTGAATATATGTAAATGCACAAATTGTAGGCTAAGTGACGCGAATCGATAAGTCAAACAACTGTCTCAATTCGTGCATATTAAAACCAATATATACGTATGTGTAGAGATACAAACACAGGCTCAATTAATATGAATAAAATATGCATACATACATATGTATGTATGTAGATATTGATACATATGTATGTATTTGTGTTTTGTTCATAAACCACTTCCATAGTCTGCCACCACTTGCACACTTTTGATTCCAACGGTTCTATTGAAATCTATTGGCTGGCGTAAGAGGTGGGGAAAGTATGTTGCCACAGTAAATTTACAGTTGTTTTTCTTTTCAATTGGCAAGTAGAATAGCAGCACAAATGAGCGCTGCCTATGTACATACATACATACGTATTATTGGCGGCCCCATAACAACAACAATGTATGCACATATAATAAGTATTAACAAAAGTGCCTGTTGTTCATAGAGCGCAGCACCAAAATCGTACGCAAACAAAGAGGTAAACGTCTACGGCGTGGTAGCCGTTGCTCGCGTCATTACCGCTAACATTTTTCCACCATTAATATGTATATGTATTGGGATATAAGCCATTATAGTTGCGGCATTGCATTATCAATTTCAGCGGTTTATTACGTTAAATAATTAATATTTTGTATGTATATGGTAAAAGTGCCGATGCGCAAA